CCCTGCTATCTGTTTGGCTTCTGTACTTCATTTATGAGCAGCCCCAAAGCAACACGCTCTGGACGGCGTACAGGGTTGACGAAGCAGTAACGCCCAGCAGATCCAGGTTTAAAACACAATTCAAATATTAAAAGGGGGGGGGGGAACAGGATTCTGAATCTGTGCAAGGTGCTTGCTACAGAGGAGAACCATGCCAACATCTCTGAGGAGAAGGGGCCATGGCAGGGCCACTACCACCAAAAGGCCTTGACATCTTCTGCCCACCTTCCCTGGCAGGGCAGACCCAGGGAGGGCCTCTCAAGGGCTTCTTGGCAGGTGAAGACCCCAAAGACCGCCTGCTTCCTTCTCCACCCCCACATTCTCCATTGCAAGCTTTCTTTCTCACCTTCACGCCCTGCAGGTTCCGGCTTTCTTGCTTGTATTTCTGCAGTTCCTTCTGCAATGAAGCCAAAGGAAGGAGGCGGTGGTCAGCCCCTTTCCCCTGGTTGCATTTGATTCTGGTTGCAATCCTGGTTGCATTCAATCCCGCCCCCCATCCCCACTTTGCCCTTTAGGCCAGATGCCAAGAACGCCCAGCGTGAGACGGTTCTGGGCTTGCGGTCAATATCTGCACACTCCCTGGAGGAGATCGAATACTGCAGATCCGCCTCCCATTGAACCTGGGGGGGGGGGCTGCTTTCACTACAGCGACCCCTCCTTCCTCTCTGCATCAGTGAAGGTCACTGGGGCAGGCAGGGCTGTCTCACAGCACTGGATCTCGCTGCTCCCGCAGCTTCTGCTTCCAGGCTGGAGCCCCAAATTCTTCTCTTTGCGATGCTCCACTGAGAATCTTAAAAGGCCAGCAAAGGGAATTTCTCGTTTCCCCTCCCCTGCAACCCCCAAATGGCATTTCTTTGTTAAGATTTATATCTGTCAGGCCCACAGAAGAATTCAGAAGTTTTGACCCTCTCCTGTTCCTCATGACCCCCTTTGCCATTCGTTATTCTTATGGATCCTACCCCTCCCATCTTCTTCCACCAAGCATTAGCCTCTGAGTTACAAAGGCCAACTCTAAACAGTTTCCCCGCTATCTCCAAAAACTGGCACATCTGGACACAGCAGTCTCCTAACATTCCAGGAGCCCAAGACGCATTTTCCATCTCCAGGTGCCTCTCACCTTCAGGTCCTGATTCTCCTCCAAGCTCTGATCCAGGCGGCTCCGGATTATGATCTGAAGACCAAAAGAAGCAGTTATTTCCCAGCGCCTTCCCAGCCACGGTCTGAGGAAGGAGGTTCGGGAGAAAAGGCTCACCAGCTGCTCTTCAGGAGAGGCTTCCTGTTCACAAAGGACCAGTGATCTTTCTTGCTCATCCTCAGGCAGCGACCCATTGAGCAGCAACGCCTGGCAGGACAACAAGGGCGAAGAGCGAGAGGCTTAGCCAGACACCTCCATGGAAATGCATCCAAGAGAAATTCAACCTTCTCTGGAAGACCCAGAGGCGTAAAAGTGGATTCCGTCTTCCGAAGCAGTTTCAAAATCAAAACTGAGCAAGGAAAGCACCAGACAGAACCTCTGCAAGCAAGGGTCTTCTGGAATCAAGTCTGAGAATTATCCAGGAGAGAACTACCTTCATCATAAATGGAGACCCTCCAAAGTATTAACTGTTTTTACATGTGGAAGTAGGAGGAAGTGGTACAATGGAAGGTGGTACAGCCAGGGGCTTCTAAGGCAGTAAGCAGTGGTGCAACCATCTAAAAACTGGATAATAATTAACCTGATGGTCCAAAGTGATAAACATGGAGATACTGAAGCTTCATAGCAGACAACATGCTTTTCATGCAGAAGAACATCATGCTCACTCCAAGCATCTATAGGAAACCCACGTGACCAAGAAGTGACTATAAATCTCCATTTCAAAAGCATACATGTAGTTCCTAAAGCATCATGAGTTTGCTGGTGGGAGGATCAAGGCCACGGCCTTCACCCAGATGGTATGTGCGCTCTTTGGGTGGCCGACGGAGCAATTTCAGGCGGCAGAATACCTACATCTTCCTTAGCATCAGGGAGAGTTCCAGGAGCGTGTCTAAGACACTTGATATGTTCCTTCAGTTATTTACTAATTTAAAACATTTGTTAGGCTGCCCAGTTCAACCAAAGTGACTCAACTCAACCAAAGCTCAACGGAACCTAACAGAAAAAATACAAAACCGCAGTACATAAACCAATCAACAATACTAAAATAATGCAATGGCCATCCAAATGGAATAACACCATTGTGTCCGGTTCAGCCCAAGAAACTTAGCGAGACAATTCAGGAACAGTTCAGTTACTTTATTAGCTTACACCTGCTAGACAGAATCTCGCCAGACTAACTCTAACCCCCAATGACCACAACTAAACACTCTGCATTCCTTAGGGTGGTGCCAGTCTCATCCTCTTAGTTTTGACACACTCAGGTTGCGGGCTGAGGAGATGCTTGAGGTTCCTTTCCGACTCCCAGTGACCTTGGACCTCCTCACTCAAGTCTTCCACCACACATTGTCCAATCGGGGCTCCAACGCATCACTCCAAAGGCCAGGAGGGTTGGGGCCAACCGTAGGAGAGGAAGAATGTTGTTCTGTAAGACAGGGGCCACCACTGAAAGGACTCCTCCACGCCAGATGGTCCTCTGACTTCCCTATCTTGTTACGCAATCCTTTGGCTGAAGCTCCTCCCATTTTGCAAACAGTTGGAATGTTCACAAACACTCCAGGTTAACAGCTGCAGCTCAGCCACCAATGTCAGGGCAAATACACTGAAGGCGACCGCCTTTAACTTATTACAAGAGGGTCCTGCAACCACAAGTTGCAACATAGAACATTCCTGGTTAGCCAGTCAGTCCCTCCTCCAGCATCTGCCATTCCATCTCCCTTCCCATCAATCAGAATTCTGGGATGACTGAGTGCATTCAGTCCTCCTAATGGGGGGAGGACTTCCCACCTAAGATCCATAAGGATCCACACTCTGCAATTCCTCTCAGAAAGAGAGCTCATGGTCCACAGTATCAGCTAGATCAGTGTTTCTCAACCTTAGCAACTTTTAAGATGTGTGGACTTCATCTCCCAGAATTCCCCAGACAATATGCTGACTAGGGAATTCAGGGAGATGAAGTCCATAAATCTTAAAGCTGCAAGACTGGGAAGCACTAGTGCAAAGAAATGATATAAAGGTGGCTCGCGACTGCCTTGTCCATCACCATCCTGGCTGGGGACTTCTGGGAGATAAAGTCCATACATCTTAAAGTTACTGAGGTTGAGAAACACTGAGCTAGATCAGCCTTGCAGGTAGTCTTCAGGTTGCAACAGCAATTAGGACCGGGATTGCCGTCACTAAGTGATGCAGTTGTAAGCACGATGTCACATGACTGCATCGCTTAGCAATGGCAATACTGGCAGTCCCTGCTGTTGTGGTAACCCAAGATGCATGAGTCATTAAGTGGGAAGCAGCAGGAGTCCCAGGCAAAGAGCGCGGGGGTGCCACAGGGGGGTGGGGGAGGCCCTGGGAGGCCTGGTACAGCCTGGACACCAGTTGGAATAGCGGGGTGCTGCAGTGCAGCATAAGCTCAGGAAGGCTGGGGATAGAGGGCGCGGGGTGCATGTGAGCGCAGGGGGGAAGGAGGCCGTGGTGCATGTGAGCGAAGAAAGGTAGGGGGAGATTTACCCAAGTGACTTGCATCCTTCCCTGCCAGCTTCCCCATTGACTTTCCTTGTGGAAAGCCCCCTGGGAAAGTCACAAATGGTGATCACATGACCGCGGGACGCTGCAACCAGTCATATGTGTGAGCTGGTTGCCGAGCACCTGAATTTTGTTCACATGACCATGGGGGTGCTGCAACGGTTGGAACTATGAGGACCGATCGTAAATCCCTTCACTACCATTGTAACTTTGAGCGGTCACTGAACAAATGGTCATAACTCAAGGACTCCCTGTATTCCAGAGACAAGAAAAAGGAGGCCAGAAGAAGACAATGAAAAGCAACAGGTTGCCTTGAATTTACAGATTGAACCAACGTTGCAACAAAAATGCAAACTTCTGTTCCTTGGCCAGTCCAATGCAGCTGATCAACACAAAGGCCACCCTCTGGAGTATCTGAATTGCAGCTCAGGGAAGGGCGATACTGGCAGCATGCCACATGGGCAGACCCATTTGTATCCTCCGTTGCCAAGAAGGCCTGGCATTTCCCAGCGGGAAAGCCAACGAAGGACGGCAGCCTGTCAAGATTCTCAAAGGGACATGCTGAGCCCTGGAACTGCCCTCAAATTCTGACTGATCTGAGGTGTGGCAGGGAGGCTGGCTATTCACCCCCCGTTTCCTGGGCAGCAGGATCAGTCGCCTCTTCTGGGAGATAAGGGGCAATGATGCCATGGAGCCTCCCTCAGCCGTCCGAGGAGAAGGAGGCATGATCTCAGAGGGCGCTTCGCAGTCCGGTTTTACCCAGACGTCCAAGAGCCCTGTCTTCTGTTTTCAGCCTGTAACGTCTCCTGTGGATGCCTCTGGAAAGGGTCTCTTCTCCTGCGTACCCTGTGCCTGCCGCCTTGGGCATCAGCGTGTACAGTTCAAAACCAGCGGAGACTGTTCAGATTGTGTGGGGCCTCTGCTACAAGTAGGAGCAGAGCGCCTGCTCTCCAGCGGGAGCCACGCTGGGCCAGGCTCCCAGGGAGGCACCTAAGAGGGCTCCACAGTTTGGAAACAGGCTCGGCCGCTTCAGGCTCCTTAAAAACCCAGCAGGCAACCCTTTGAATTCCAGGGCACTCATCAGCTATTGACTGGACAAGGGTTTCATCTTGTACACTCCGCAGAGCCTTCAGTTTGTCACTTTTACTGTTGTCGTTGTTGCTCTTTTTTAGCAGAGCAACCTGGACGTGGCACCCGTTTGACACGCAAGTCCGAGCTTCTTCAGCAAGATGGCAGCCCTGGTATAAAGACGTTGTTTCCTCTATAGAGATTATAGTTCACCCGCAAAGAGTACAACCAGTTATTATTTGTGCGGGATGTACAGAAGGGAGTTGGGAAACCGTCATGCACATCTCGTGGTGCAAGGAAGTACAAAGATCCTTCAGCGTGCAAGTCAGCATCCCTTTGGGAATGTTTATTTTGCAGCAAGTGGACGGGTGTCCGAGAGAGAGAGACTCAGCATCGATATTCAAAGAACAACAAGCCCGTCTGCTCTCTCCAAATCATCTCTCTTTCTCGAACTATCTATTTCAGGGGTGGGTGCAAGTCCCTTTTAAAAATGGCCAAGAGGGTTCATCCAGCCAGGCTCTGAATCTGTGGGGCCATCTTATGGGAAGGAGGCAGCCAGGAAGGAAGAAAGGAAGGGGCAGATACCTGCAATCCAGAAATCATCTTTTTGGCTTCTTCCATTTCTTTCTCTAAGTGATCCTGCTGCTCCAAGAGGTGGTCCTCCCATGAAGTTTCCAGACTTGGGGCAGGACACTTTGGCGACCATTCAGCAGGCAACCGAGAGCCATTTTCTTCTACAAGGGAAACAACATGTCGGTGGTCTAACTCTGGAAAAGCATGGCTCCAGATCTCTGGGGAGCAGAGGAAGAACGGGGAGGCGGGGGAGAGAGAGAGAAGTAGATCACAGATTTGTGCTTCAGTCCTTAGATATCTTTATTTTCATGTGTATTCATTTTACAGTCCACCACCTTTGTACCTGATTTACCACCAATATCCCAATTTTTTTCCTCCCTCTCTTGTCTTCCTCTTAAAATGCAAAGAGGCTACAGCTGCGATATGGCATTAGTAAAAATGTATTACACTAGTAAAATGTACATTAGTAAATTGGCTAGCTATTCCATGCTCAGACAATTAGACACTTGGCTTGATCTCAGGGACATGGATAAAAACTGCCTTCTGTTCTCGGGGACAGCCATCTTCTCAGATCTCTGTCTGTAAAATGGGACTCCTGCTGGCCCACCCCACCGGGTTGAGAGATTAGAGCTGCAGTGATAATTACAGCTAATATACTCACTTAGTAGTGCTACAGAAATGGAAATCATCAACAGAAGAATATGAGATGGATCCCTCAGGTCAAATCATGCCAGCCAAGCATCAGTTCTCTAGGAACCCTAAAACGTTCTTAGATCCAAAGCTGGTCCACCAGCGGCCTACGCAGAGAGTTGCAGCGCCCAGTGTTGGGATCCCATGCGCAATTACTCAGGAACAAACCCCACTGAGGTCAGTGGACTTACTTCCAGGAACACGTATGCAAGGCTGCTCTGTAAGAGTGCAAACGGCTTGTCCAGAAGTTCATGGTTTAGCCTACAATGCAACCATCAGCTCACTACATGCCCCCAACCAAACAATGATCTCTCAGCTTCTCCCAGCCAGTCCCTTCATGAAAAAAGCATGCCTCACAGGGATGTTGTAAAGTCAGTGGAACAAAGCAGTAAACAGCTTGAAAGCTCCCCTTAAGAACGAGAGCAATTCTGCAGAAAATGGCTTCAACATCCCACTTGAAACCATTTTCTTCTCCAATACCTCCAACCAACTTTTCCATTTCAGGCTCCATTCTAGCTTCAGAGCATGGCAAATTCAGACTCATTCAGATGTGGGCGGGGGGGGGAGTTCAGCCTTGTCTTTGAGGGCCTCCCCCTCTGTGTTTCACATGGGGGACAATTTTTTTTCCTTTCCACGGCTTCAACCAATGAGTCTCCTTGCAGGCAGTTCAGCCACCTCCTTGATCACTGTGAGTTTGGACTGAAAACCAAAGAAGATTTGGACCTTGATGCAGTTGTCTATAACAGTGTTTCTCAACCTCAGCCCTTTTAAGATGTGTGGACTTCAACTCCCAGAACCCCCCATTCTTCCTCAGAGATCGTGGGATCAGGAGAAACGGCTCGATTCCCAGCCATGCCAGAAGTCAAATGGGGTCTGGGGAAGAAGCGAATCTCTATGCATCTTGTGACGTGAGCTGTAGCTCACAAAAGCTTCTGCCTTTGAATGAATTGGTGAGCTAGAAAAGGTGCTACCACAGACTAACCCAGCTCCCCCCTACAAAATCTGTCAGTGCCAAGAGAAAGTCGGGTTATTTCTGAAGGACAACATCAGGAAAACTGAAAGCCTTGAAAGCATCCACCGTGGATGTTAATTGTGTTCATAAGAAGGAAAGAGACATTTCTCTAAACCAACTGCATGCTCTGTCCACAGTAGATGATTGCAGGCCTGGGAAAGCATCGTGGGTTATCGTCCCTAAAGTGTCAGCCAGCCTAACTTCGCTTGGCTTTATCACCCGATAAAAGGCACGCCGGAGCCCTAAGATATTAAATATATCTTTAAGTAGAATCAATCGCTCGGAAGGTTCTTCTTCTGTTCTGGTGGGACGCATCTGCTGCCCAGCAGGCATCTCCGCTTGTTGGAGAGGAAAGAAACGCCTTCAGATCCAGTTCCAATAAATGCTCGTGCTATTGACCGTATCTGTTTTTAAAAGCGCGCTGCCAGATCAAGGGGGAACCACTTTCAGTCGACTAAGCATTTTTAAACGGGCTCACCTTATTCAGCTAGTCAACATTCTTATCCAGACCAGGAAAGAGCGCCGGAATAAATGATGGAAAAGCCATCTAAGTTGTTGATTAGTGTTGGTATGGTTTTTATGTGTTTTTTGTTTTTTATATAGTTTTTTAACGGTGGTTAGCCACCCAGAGTCACGTATGTGAGATGGGCGGCCGTATCAATCGAAATAATAAATAAATGATTTTAACCCCCCGATTTCTAGTTAGGACAATCCTCTCCCCTACCTGTTCTTCTTCCTGCTTTTTCTTCTCCATCTTCTTCTTCACGGCCAATGTCAAATCCTGCCTTCTCCTCGGAAGGTGTAGTGCCGGACTCGCTCTTTGCACTATTGATAGGGCTGGGGGAGGTGAGGCTGTGGGGACCACACAAAAAAGAGGGTTACTGGGGTTTTTATTTCCATGCACACCAATTCCATTTGAATGTATCACCTTCCTGGACCTGAAATCATAGCATCGTGCAAAAAAAGCTCAGTTAAGACAAAGACCACCCTCCGGTCAACAGGTTCACCCAATACAAGCAGGAAACTTTACCCTGAGACCCCCTCCTCCTCCCAGGAGCTGGCAGTCCTCAAGTGACCTTGGGTGGACTCCCCAAAGGCTCAGTGGTCAGGCCTGGAGAGACTGGAATGGAAGACCACCAGGAAGACACAGGGTGCGGGGGGGGAGTCACACGAAACACCCGGCAGAAGGAAACGGTGAACAGCTGCCAAGAAAATAATACGGACACGTCCCCAGGAATCCAAGCCAGGCTCACGGGAAACTCTTCCTTTTAACCTCCTCCTTTCATAAGGGGTCAAAGCAGTCTGAAGCTCATGGACTGGGAGCTGGGGAAGGGCACAGGAGGGCTTTCCAAGAGGACTGTCTTCCAGGAGATCGCTCTCCCATTTGTCTCCTTCCGTGGTGCTCAGGCCTGCCAGTCAAGCCCCCTGCTCCCCATGCATACACTCAGCTGGATCAGCAATGCCATTTCTACTCCTACCTCTCCTTCGCCTTGAACGTAGGCTTAAAATAAATAAATGGAGAGAGAGGGGGACAGTATTTCCAGGGGCTTACTCCAGAGGAGCAGCCCACCCTCCACCTCTCTTCCCCACCCTAGGGTTCTTTGAGCATGCATCTCCCAGACAACAGCGAGAGGCATCTGAAATGCACTGACCCATTTAATGCGTCCCCAAAGAATTCCTCCTTGCAAGTGTGAGCAAGAGTTAATGTACCATTTTCCCAGACAGAGAAACAAAGGTACCCCAAACAAAAGAAAAAGGGGAGAAAAAGGGATTAACAAAACGAAAGAGGCGAGAAACAAAGATAAAAAATACTTTCCCAGCTCTTTCCTGGTCTTCCCAAGAGTGAGAGTTGGCTCCCACGGCTGAGCTCTGGAGGAGCGTGAGCGGGCGTGTGTTGTGTGTGGGCCTCCTAGCACATACACATGCTAGAACAATATACAAAGCATCTCACCCCTTCAGGGCGATGAGGATGGCCGGTTGTTAGAATGTCCCATTCTAAGTGAAAAAGCGACACATTTTTCAGGGCTCAAATTCTGTAGTTCAAAAAGTCATCTCACGCAGCTGTCTCCCTTACAGATCACCTGCCTCCAGTGGTTTACACCCAGTTTCCCACACTAGCAGCCCAGCTCTCTACATACCAAGCTCCAAAGGCCAGAAATTGCAACTCAAAAGAGGCCACACCAAGTTCTTGCACTCTACACATCAACCCCTGGAACCCCCCCTCGTTTGGACTAAGCTGCAGGCTGCTATCTTCAGCGCAATGGGAACTAGGAAGCAGCAGACAATCTCGGGGACCCTCAGAAAGTACAGCTGACACCCAGGTAAATGGGACCTTCTCCCACAGGTGCAGCATATACTTTGCCCGCGAGTTTTCAGGGCCATAGCTACCCCTGGAAACAGATTTTTTCTGATGCTCTGAGACGCAAATACCTTGAAGGTTTTACATCTCTCCTTCTGCAACAATGCCGTGTCCATAGTACCCTAGTCTAGAGGAAAGAGATTTTTAAAAGGTCAGCAAAGACCACCAGCTCCCCCCTCCCCGTTTTGCGTTAACAGGAAAGAAAAGATCGAGTATGTAAGCTTCATTTCTGCACAACAGTCTGCCAGAAGCCACAGCAATACAGCTGCCGGAGGGGTTAGCCATTTCCAGCAGGTGAAAATAAAGCGAAAGGGGAAAAAAAAAGAGGTCTTCCATCCTCAACAGGCAGGATGGAAGACCTCTGGTACCGCTCGCCCACCGAAATCCCACTCCTCTTCCACCGAGATCCTCAACAGGCAGGATGGAAGACCTCTGGTACCGCTCGCCCACCGAAATCCCACTCCTCTTCCACCGAGATCCTCAACAGGCAGGATGGAAGACCTCTGGTACCGCTCGCCCACCGAAATCCCACTCCTCTTCCACCGAGACCTGGAGAGAATTCTCAGCAAAACACGCAGCCACCACAAGACTATAGAAACACCCCCATGGCACACCTGCTCCCGATACCAACCTGGCTCCCCAGGACTTCTGCCCGTGCCACCACTGACCGCTGGCCTCCCCAAAGCCGCCACACCTGAAGCTCAAGCCCTTGCATGCATCCATCACCGCTCCTCCTGCCACCAAATGGTTAGGAGGAGGGAAAGCCAAGGTCCTTGCATCACTGCCCTGGGGGGGCGGG